GGCGAGTTTTTTGTGACACCCCAAGGCGTTCTCCTACCACCTCACAAAATATCAAGGGGGGTCGTCGGAGGAAATTTTTTTTTCGTAATATAGCCCATATAAGGCGCCGGTCAGTCGAGGTCAGTTTTGACCCCCTCTCCGTAGACTTTTTGGCCAACCGTCACCAGCCCTCGTGTTCTATCGCCCCAAGGCACCATCGTGCCAAATTTGACGCGCCTGCGGCGCCGGGAAGTGCCCTATCGGGCACTTGACCACTTTGCTTTATATATATAGATACTAGCCGTCCCGGCCAGGCCCTGCTCTGGCTTCTGTGAAGAACCTTTCTGTTAAAGACCGTTACCTGTGTGTTTAGTAATCATCATAAACCCGGCATTGCCCACAATTACAAATACAAACGAAAACAAAAACCTAACAACAAACCCAACCACAATCATAAACACCAATACAAACACAAAGAAAAAGCAAACAAAAAAGCGAACGAAAACAAAAACCTAACAACAAACCCAACCACAACCACAAACACCAATACGAACACAAAGAAAAAAACAAACGAAAAAGCATACGAAAACAAACCAAATCCAAACGCAAAACCAACCACAAACACAAATACAAACACAAACCCAAAGAAAAAAACACAAACGAAAAAAGAAAGAACAAAAACGAACCAAATCAAAACGCAACCACTAACGCAAACCCAACCTAAACAGAAAGAAAACACTAACGCGAACATAAACGCAAAGTGCTCACAGTCTAGCCCGGGGCAGAATCGCCTGTTACAGCTTAATAATCGACTATAGTACCCCAACTTATTCATAGCCTTTTGCACTCACTTAAACGAACGTAGGTGCCAAACCAAACCAAATGAACAATTATAATACTCCAAGCTTATTCGTAAAATACCTACAACATTTGCACTTGATCAATCCCCGCTAATTATGTAATTATTTTTTTCCCAACACCAAAGCAAATTAATAAAAAGTAAATTCTTCTCCACTAATGCAGGGGTCTCCAAACTACGGCCCGCGGGCCGGATGCGGCCCGCGATGTGCTCTCATCCGGCCCGCGGAGATCTTTTTGTCCACGGAAAAAAAATGTTTGTTTGAGGTGGCTGAGGAATTTTGCCCAGAAAATGCAAAACAATTTGAAAATGTAGCTTTCGGTGCAACTACCGTTGCCCACCGTGTTGCAGACATTGGTGAAAACACTGTGACTCAAATAGCGAAAAATGCAAGCACGTTTCGCAATTTTTCAATTGCAATGGAGGAGTCGCTGGACAGCTGTTCCACCTCTCAACTGCTTGTGTTCATTAGGGGTGTGGATGAAGACATGAACATAACACAAGAGCTTGCTTTTATGACACTGTTACCGGAGAAGATCTATTCAATGAGTTGAAACAAAAATTTGCTGATTATAACTTGGACTGGACTAACCTCAGTTGCCTGGCTGTTGGCGGAGGAAGAACATTGGTCAATAGTGGCATAAAGAAAGGCTTGGTTGGACAAGCGGAGCAGATGTGTAATGAGAAAAACATTCTACATCCAGTGTTCCTGCACTGTATTATTTTTTCACAAGCAAGCTTTGCGTGCTACATATATGGACATACGCAGTGTAGTGAATCCTGTGTTGAAGATGGTTAATGTATAAGGTCACAATTGCTCAACCACAGATAGTTCAGAGACATGTTGAAAGATACAAACAGAGAATCGCAAGATTTACCAGTAAAATGACTAAGTTTTGAGAAAGTTCTGAGCAGGGTATTTAAGTTAAGAAAGGAAATAGGTGACTACCTGGAAAACAAAGCAAGCTGCTGCCATTAATGTCTGATGAAAAGTATAGACATTGGCCTCTGCTGCAAACATAACACGTCATTTTAATTTTCTGAACCTAGAACTACAAATTAAGGAAATCTAATTTCTGATTTATACACCAACCTTAAGGCCTTCAGATCCAAACTTGTCATGTTTTCGGGACAAGTCTTAGTACAAGCCAACAACTTGACGCACTTTCAGCAGTGCAAGCTCTTCATAGCTGAAGCAACAGATGTCCCCCAGGTCATTTTAATGCAAGATCATCAAAGACCTCCAGCTGCAGTTTCAGTAGCGGTTTGCTGACTTGGATTCAAAGGCAGAAGAAGTGAGACTGTTTCAAAACATTTGAAGCAAATGTGGCCAGTTGCCCAGATGAACTGCAGCTGGAGGTCACTGAATTGCAAGCAAATGACCTCCTTAGAGACTAGTTCAAAGAAGGAAGGGTGGGTTTTTTAAATACGTTTTCGACCAAGGATGACTCTTCTAAACCTTTTGCATCAAAGTACCTTTCAAATTTTGCAACAACATACCCGTGTGAACAAACATTTTCATGAATGAAATACACGAAGAACCATTTGAGAACAAACTTGGACCTGGTGTGTGTTGTCAGACTTTTTTCTCCGGGGGCAGGGGGTGGACGACGACACTTAAAATTTGTATAAATTTCTATATTAATTATATTTCGTGGGGGGCGGGGGGGGGGGAAGGTTAGGTAGACATTCTTCGGGGAGGGGGGGGCGGAGCTCTACCTCCCCGAAGAGATGCCTGGAAAAAACTCTGGCCCCCGAACTGATTTTTCATATTTAATGCGGCCCTCGGGCTGAAAAGTTTGGAGACCCCTGCACTAATGCAATGTTTTATAAAGGGAAGTATTTGTGTTTTCCTAATTTATCAAAGGGAAGTAAGTGCTAAAGGACTAAATATAAATAATTTTCAGACATAATTAGAATTTTTGTTATTTTTTTTAAATCGTGTTTAATTAACATGCCGACAATTATTACTATCAGTTTGAAAAATGAAAATTATTTCCCAACACTTTCAATAGTAATTTTTTTACTCATAAATTTAGACTATGAGCACTATGAGATATATATATGTATATGTGTGTGTGTGGTGTGTGTGTGTGTGTGTGCGCGTGCGCGTGTGCGTGTGTGTGTGTGTGTTGTATGTATATGTGTGTGTTCGTGCGTGCATGCGTTCTTGCGTGTATGTGTGTATTTGTATATTTATTAGAAATCTATAAATAACCAGAATATAGAGTCTGTAAAGCTCATGGTTTCTAAACCGAAAAATCTCGAGTTGGAACCCTTAGGCAGATGAGGCTCGTAAGCTGGGGACAGCCACTCTTCTAGGAGAGACAACTCCAAAATCAAACAACTGCTGCCTTGTAGTTTGTTCTTAGTTGAACAAAGGCTATGGAAGGTAATCCAAAAGAAAAGCAGGCTGAAATCGGAGTCAATGGCCACAATGCCGCATAACTTATTGTGTTGGAGGCGTGATCAAGTCGGCAAAGCTCTTGGTTGATAAATTCGAAAAAAAAATCTCGAGTTCGAACCCTTTGGCAGATGAGGCTCGATCCTTCCAACACTAAAAATTAAGAACGAAGAAGAAGAAATAGAACAATCTTTATTTAAAACGTAAGTTTTAACGTTAATTGAAGCTTATCTGCCTTAATTACACTACATTTTCTGTCATCATAATAATCTTTTTCTTACGTCATGTGAACCTATTACAGGAAGTACACTTAGCAGAAAGCATCTTGTGTAGTGGGACAGAAAATTTTACACGTAAGCCTTATCTTGGCTTATTTAAGGTAATTGTCTTAAAATACCGCTTATCTGTTTGATTTTACTTTAAACATCTAACTGTGCCTATTCTTTTCACTTAGTTATGATTAACTATTAATATAAAAATAAGAGGTGTTTAAAAAAACAGGTAGTATAGCAGATATTAATTTAAAGAAGTGGCCGTCACAACCGATGGAAATGTATGTGAGCTTGATGTACATTTAAAATTAATCCGTTACAAACGCAGTTCAATTCTTCTTTGACGCTGGAATGATAATTTCTCAGTGACTCTTTAATACTAGACAAATGGCCTGTTGTGGGAGAAATACAGCGGGCACTAGGTTGACAGTATTGTCTTTTTCTCTAAATCGAAACCAAAACCAAAATCACCACATCAACATCAGATTTAACCTGAAACAAAAAATGTCATTGAATACGGATTTTTATCCAGTATCAACATTTTAACCGGATTTAACCTTGATCTACACGTACATACTGCACAATCATACAAAATTTAGTCGTAGTTATACCCCTAAACATTAGATCTAAGCTCAAACTTGACAAAAGTCGCATTCAGAGTTTCTTTCAGGAAACTCTTCGAACGTCTACCGCCCCCTACAACGAAATAGAATGTATATAGAAAATATACTTTTACCAGTGTCCGCCCCCCTCCCCGGAAAATTTAGTCTCCCCCCCCCCCCCCAACGCGAAAAATTTCAAGTGCTACACCCCCTCCCACTCCCCGGAAGAAAAAAGTCTGAAAGAAACACTGGTCGCGTTTGTAGATCATACAGACTAAAGGTAGACCCTTCTTTAATAATCTAGACCCGTTTCCTCATTTTGGCTGCTAAACCTCAATCATGCAGATAGTGTTTGTTTCAGATTTTTTTCTCATGGTGGGGGGTGGGGCACTTGGGAAAAAAATTATATTCTCCGGAAGAGGGGGGCTGACACTAGTAAAAGTATATATTTTCTATATAAATTGTATTTTTTTCGAGTATCGATGACGTCATTATTTTTGTGGCATTAGATTTATTTACTCTAGAATCAATCATACAGACTAAAGGCAGACCCTACTTCTATAATCTAGACCCGTTTCCTACTTTTCGCCGCTAAACCTCAATCATGTAGATTGTGTTTTTTTTTTATTCAGACTTGTTTTCTCCAAATGGGGAGCACTTTAAAAAATAATTTGGGGGAGGGCGGATTAAATTCTCCGGGGAGGGGACCGAGACTGGTAAAAGTATTTATTTTCTATATAAATTATACTTCGTTCGGTGGAGGGGAGAAGCGGTAGATTTTCTTCGTATGTGTATGTGTGTGTGTGTCGTTTTGGGGGGGGGGGGGTCCTTAGGGGGGTATAACTTTTCTAACCTAACCCTGCCCACGCCACTACTGTGACTGCTTTCATCTATTTCTACAGCAATGTGAATATAGCACAGCGGATTGTTTATTCTTATTAAGTAAATAAAGTAATAATTTTGCTTTTATTTTCTTTATTTCAGATAAACGAAATCGAATTCAGTTTGATCACTGTTCACAACAAATATTCCAATACCAATACAGAAAGAACAAAAAATGAAGCAAAAACCCTTGTAAAATTAAACCAATTAGTTGATTTTGGTGGGTTAATCTTATAATTAAACAAATTTACTGTATTATTTTTGTAATTATCATTTTAGAAGTTTTACATTCTCCTAACTTACACGATCTTATACTTTATATTCTAATTTATAGGAAAGAATGTAATCATACTTGGCGATTTTAATTTATCCCCGACGGACGAAGGTATGTAAATTCATATGGATATTTTTTTTTCTCTCGCCATTAATCAGTTTTTAACTCCACATTCCTGTTATTTATTGACAGTTTCGTAAAGGAAATGCTTTTAGAATGTACAAGGTGCCCCATGTTCCATCTTAATAAAGTATATAAGCCGGCAGTGATCTCCCCAAAACTTTTTCTAATTTTCTTATATAAATCAACAAGGGATGGGAACTCGGGATATAGACATGATTTTTAATGTGTGTGTGACTGTGTGTGTGTGTAAACACGATAACTTGAGTACCGTTACATCTATGTTGATGAAATTTTATTTATAAGTATTTTATCAAAATCGTAGATTCTGATCAACTTTTGAGCGATTTCCGACAAACTTCTTCTTCTTCTTCTTCTTCGTTCTTAATTTTTGATTATGGTGGAGGAATTAGACAACAAGTCCAACTTCATGGACAAACCGGACTGTGGTTTCCAGTTTGTCAGGTGTCCCATATAATTTTTCCCTGAGTGGGGTGGGCTGGGGCCAGTGTCTGCCTCTTGCCTGGCTATACAGAGTACAATCCTGGAGTACGTGCTCCGTGTTTTCCGGGGCCTTGCCACAAGGGCACATTTCGCTACACCCAACCTTCAGTTTTTTGTGCATGTGTTGATTTAGTCTGTTGTGGCCTGTTCTGAGTCGAAAGATTGTGTATTGTTGTTTTCGTGTTAAATTGTAATAGCCGTCGTCTTTAATGTAGTGAGGGTGTGTGACAGACCACATTTGCGTTTGTTTGTGTTTAATTATTCTTTTTATTTCTTTTGGGTGTAGCGAAATTTCCGGTTGTGGTTTCTTTACCCCAATTTTTGCCAGCTGGTCTGCGATCTCGTTACCCTGGATCTGGCAGTGGCCCGGGATCCACTGCAGCACAATTCTGCTGCAGGTATTTTTTAGCCTCTCTAGTGCTGTCATGAGTGTTTGAATATAGGCCTCCGGATTTTGTAGGGACTGCAGGACTGATTTGGCATCTGTAAGAAATACAATCTGACTATTCGGTGATTCAGGGTGTTCTGACAGGAGGTTTGCTGCGTGTTCTAAAGCTTCTTTTTCTGCCCTAAAATTGTCGGATAGGCTGCCTGTGGCTATTGCCTTTTCCAGGCTTTTTCCGCTTGGCCATTCAATAAGGATGCCAGCCCCGCCGTTTTTTGTGGCATCTTCAGCTGAGCCATCTGTGAAAACTCTAATCCAGGTATTGCTGGGGTACTGATCCTTAATGTGTTTATTTGTTATTTTCTTAAGTTCTTCTAGATCATAGTCAGATTTTTTTCCTATGGTGTCTATTGAGTCAATAATGGTTAAGTGACAGTGGGAGATCCAAGGCGGGGAGAGGTTTTGAGTTTTTATTGCTTCAGGAATGATATTTTCGATTTCATATTTCTTTTTCAGATTCTTTGCTTCTTTGATGAAACTTGTTCTTTGTAGTCTGGTTGATGGACTGGGTTTCTGGAGTTTTTGTTTTAGGTTATGGTTTTCCAGTGCCTCTAGCTTTGTGTAATGAGTGAGGATTTTTGATTCTCTTCTTTCTTCTATTGAGCTAAGAGCGGCTATTTCCTCCATAGCATTTATGGGTGTTGTTTTCATGGCTCCTGTCATTATTCTCAAACCTATGTTCTGAACTTTGTCAATTTTGCTAATATTTGTTTTTGCTGCTGAGCCCCAAGCCGAAGCACCATATTCTAACGTAGGTCTCACATAGCTGGTGTAGGTTTTTTTCAGGATGTGGTGATTTGCTCCCCAGTCTGTTCCTGCCAGTTTCCTCATTAGATTAAGTCTTTTGATACCATTACTTTGTGTGTTTTCTATTTGTTTTCTCCAGGTAAGTCGAGTGTCAAAAGTGACTCCTAGGTATTTGGGGTGGTCATTTTTTTCTAGCTCTTGGTTTTCTAGGGTAAGTTTCATTTTTTGATGTTTAGTTGATAAGGTGAAGATTGAATAAGTTGTTTTCTTGATATTGATGGATAAGCCCCAGTTTTTGGTCCATTTGCCGAGCTTGTCAAGTGTTTCTTGAAGACGAAATTTTGAGGTACCAATATATTCCTCTGTGCTGATTAGTGAAAGGTCGTATGCAAACATGCTTCTTTTTACTCTCTTTGGGATGTTTTCATTTAAGTCATTTATATAAATGAGGAAGAGAGTAGGAGACAAGACTCCTCCTTGAGGGACTCCATTTTTTATAGTTACTGTGTGACTTCTTTTTCCTTGCATGGAGACTGATGCTTTTCGGTTGCTTAGGTAACCTTTTATCCAGTTTAGCATGTTATGAGATACTTGATGGTTTATTAGCTTTAGAATTAAGCCTTGCTCCCAAACCTTGTCAAAGGCTTTTTCAAAGTCGACCCACACTATTGAGGTTGGTTTTTTTTCTTGAAAGCCATCTTCTATTTCCTGAGAAATGAAGGTGATTTGGTCTTCAGTAGATCTGCACTTCCTGAAGCCTGCCTGTTCGTCTGCTAGTAGATTGTTCGATTCTAGAAACCAGGTCAGTCTGTTGTTTACTACTCTTTCCATCAGTTTACAAACGCAGCTTGTTAAACTTATTGGGCGATAGCTATCGACTTTGTTCCTGGGTTTTCCTATTTTTAGAACAGGTATCATGATTGCTTTTTTCCAAATATTTGGGATTTTCCCAGATTTCCAGCTTGCATTAAATATTTGGAGCAGTTTTTTCTTAGCATTGGGGCCCAAGTGCATGAGCATATCATTTGAGATTTTGTCAGGGCCTGGAGCTTGCTTAAGTTTGAGGAGCTTCATTGCTTCTCCGAGCTCCTTCTTGCTTATTCGAGCTACCATTCCAGTGGAGGAGGGGGGAGAGACTTTCTGTAGTTTTTCTTTAACTTCAGTTTGATTTTTAACCTCTTCTACTCTTTGGTGGCTGATATTTATTTGTCCCACTTTGCTGAAGTGGGTTATAAATTCTTTTGCTGCATCCTTTTCTGTTTTGATCGTGTTTTCAATGTCGATGACTATGGGAGTAGCTATGTTTTCTTCTTGGTTTAGCCTTTTTGCAATACTCCATAGTTTATGACCATCTCTATCTACATTGAGGTGTTCTGTTTTTTCTTGCCAGCTTTTCCTCAATGCAGTTAGATACTTTTTTCTAAAGACTGCGTTTGCTGATTTTAATTTTATGTTATTTTCTACAGTGGGATTTTCTTCAACAATGTTTCTAGCATCAATTGTCTCGTCATGGAGTATCTGGAGGTCTGGAGTCCAGTTTGGGATATAATTTTTCCTTGCTCCCCTTGGAATAGATTTTTTGGCTGCTAACAGAACTGCTTTTGAGAAGGCTGTGTATGACTTGTTCACCTGTTTGGTTTTACAGTTGATTGGTCTTGTGTAGGAGTCTGTGAGGGAAGAGAAGAGCTCCCAATTAGTTTTTTTGTAGTTCCATCTAGGGCGGGGGTAGGCTTCAATTGGCCTGTTTGATGTTTCTATCTGGATCAGGATTGGTCGGTGGTCGCTAGTGGCTAGTTGATCTGCAACTTCTCTTTTGCATTTTTTGGATATGCCATTAGTAGCAAAAGCTAGGTCGGGGGTAGTCGTGGTTAACCAAGACCTTGAGTAAAAAGTTGGTTTGTCATCAGGTTTATTTAGAAGGATGAGCCTATTTTCTGCTTGCCATTCTTCAATTTCCTCTCCTTTAGCATTGGATCAGGGTAACCCCAGCTCTGGGAGTGGCTGTTCATGTCTCCCACAATCAGGCACTCTTCGCTGTTTGGCAGGGAGATGCGGTCCAGTTCTAGGTCCTTATCAGGAGGACAGTAGCAATTGAAGATATTTAGGTTACCTTCTGCAAGTATGAGTTTGGTGCCCATTATCTCAGATGCTGTTGAGTTTGGTATAACGATATCTGTTGTTGGAATGTCATTTTTTATGAGAATGAGGATACCTTCTTTAGGTCTGTTTTCCCTGTCCTGCCTTATGCAGGTGTATCCTCTAATAGAGAAGCGAAGATTGTTGTTGAGGTGAGTTTCTTGAATACAAGCAACGTCTACTTTATTTTCATGTAGGAATATTTTTAAGGCTTCCTTTTTTTTATGAACTCCCTCTGCATTCCACTGCAGGATAACAAGTAATTTGTTGTTTTCCTCACTATTTTGGCCAGTAGAATTTACCTTCTGATCCTTGCCCCTGGCTGGCCAGGCAAGAATAGAGGAACCACCAGCTCGCTTTTGTGGGCTCCTTCGAGGCGGAGAGCCCGGCCCCCTACCTGCGCGGCGGGATTCCACAGGCAGGACGCCACTTCTGTTAGTCCTATTTCTTTCCTCCATCATAAAATTAAGCAGTGCGTGCCAGCATGTTATGCGCCATACTGGATGGCCCGTTGACTCCGACTTCAGCCTGCTTTTCTTTCTGGATTTGCTTCCATAGCCTTTGATCACCCAAGAACAAACTACAAGGCAGTAGCTGTTTGATTTTGGAGTTGTCTCTCCTAGATGGGTTGCTGTCCCCAGCTAACGAGCCCCATCTGCCCGGGTTTGGAGTTATAGCGCCCCATGCTCGCCGTTGAAGTCATTTCCTTGGATTTATGAGATGTTTTTTATTGGATATCCTAACCAATGGATATCCCACCTCATCCTCCATGACCACAAACCAGTTGGTCCACGGCTGTTTATTTGGTATTCACAGCTAACCCTCATATCTAAGGGCCTCTCCCCTATCCGCCACCTGGGGACGCGCTCGGTAGGAGATGGTAGCTCCCCCAAGTTCCGACAAACGGAAGTGGTACTTTTTCTACTTTGAATTTTTCAAAATCCTATAACTTGAGTACTATTTCAGATAGATAAATGAAATTTCACATGTAAGTAAAAAATCTAATTCTCTACCTTCTGTCAAATTTTGAGTAATTTCCGTTGACCGGGAGTACTAATTTACGCTATTTCCGATATCTCAAAAAACACATGTAAATTTATAAAGTACTAATAATATTGCGCACTATTATGCACGTTTTGTATGGGGTTCGCTTGGTGCGCAATTCTTTTTTCTACTAGATTTTATTCTATTTTTAAAAGTTTAAGTAAACTAAAATCATGTCTATATTCCGAGTTGCCATCCCACATAGTGTTATATTAGAATATTCGAGAAAGTTTAGGGGAGATCACTCCCGGTTTATTTTATTTTTTGCACGATTACAATACTTTCTCTATACTTCGTATATACGAGAAAGTAAAAATTTAAAAAGATGGTGAGTGGCGTGTATTTTCGCCAATGTAAATGGGATTGAATGACACTGGAATGGTGATTAGATAAACCGTTTAACACTTAGAAGATAGCCAATTGTATTACCGCGTAATTTACAATTTTACACGCCAGTTTTGTTAAAAAATGAAGCGACTAGTTCTTTGTAAGATTCTTACGATTCTCTTAACTAAAACGTGAAAGATCAGATACTTTTACTTGATTGCATTTCATCTTTGCCTTGATCACTGTATTAAAGAGAAATAAATATCACGAATCTTGAATCGCTATCCCATCAGTAAAATAGCATACGGACGAGGTGGGTGGGCGGAAGACGAAATTTTAAGAGCTAAAAACACAAGTATATTGTACCGAATTGGTCATTTTTGGATTGCTTTTTTCATAACAAGTATTAATACTGCAATTTTTATATAGACTCTAGTTAAGGCCATTAGAGCTACTAAACGATGTAAAACAATTGTACACCACGAGTACTGCTAATGCGTTGTTACTTTGTTTAACGTAACATAATTTAAAACTTGAATACACTATTATCGAAAATGTTCTAAAGACACGACCAAAAGTAGACCAAATACACTTGCACTTTTTACAAACTACACCCTATAGCAGTGGTTCTTTACCTTTTTTGGAGGTACTGAACCCCACCAGTTTTATATTCGCCTTCACTGAACCCTTCTTAATAGATTTATCGTCCACATTGACAAAATCTGAGCTTGAATCATATGAGTCGGGTGTGTGTCTTGACCTCCGCCGAAGCTCTGAGACTTACTTACCGAACCCCTTGGTTTCTTCTTTGTATTCGTTTCGGTTTTCTAAGGAGCATAGACTTAGGCAACACTTCGTCAACTCACTTGATTTTTATGAAGATAGAACCCTAATAATCCAGCCTCCCACATCTCTATTTCAAACGATTTTCCGTCAGGACTTTTTTTTTATCTTCTTCTCTTCCTCTTTCCTCGTGGACTTATTACTTTTTACTGCTCCTTCAACCAGTACAATTAGTTCTGCATTTGCTGTTGACTGTGTACGGCGAGAAGGCAGCGCACATCTACGAAATCTAAGACATCGAGCTGCTATGTCCGTTAGATTCCAATTTATTTCATATAGCTTGTTTCGTTACGAAATCAACCAGTCAACTAAATACTAAAGTCGTATTCCAATGCGTAAATTAAATGTTTCTCTAAAGTTGTTCTTGTATGTCACTTGTATTTCCTTACTCTAACACACTTATGATCCAACTATGTACCATATCACAACAGAGGCTTTTCTAAGACAGAACATAAAAGGCTGGTCTAAACAAATTAGAGCTTGTTACAAATTACCCTCTAACTCAGATCAGGCATATTTTTTTTCTGACATTACTAATCCTTTGTAATTAAAAAAACGCATCATAATGGGAATTTAATGGAGTCGAATACAGTTTTCAGGACGAAAATCATGCAGTGTTTCTTCCAGACTTTTTTCTCCGGGGGGGGGGGGGCGGGCACTTGATTTTTTCGGGAGGCGGTCAACATTTTCCGGGGGGCGGACACTAGTAAAAGTATATTTTTACTATATAAATTCCATCTCGTTCGGGGGGGGCGGGGGGGGGGGCTTTGCCCCCCCCCCCCGAAGAGATGCCTGGAAGAAACTCTGAAATCATACACTGTAATTATTAAACCGTCTCCGGACAGTCGCACACACGCTTACACCCACACACACACACACACACACACACACACACACATATATATATATATATATATATATATATATATATATATATATATATATATATATATATATATATATATATATATATATATATATATATATATATATATATATATATGTGTGTGTATATATATATATATATATATATATATATATATATATATATATATATATATATATATATATATATATATATATATATATATATATATATACGCATACATATACATGTGTATATGTATTAAATATGCACACATATAGCATTTATATAGAGTATATAGTGAGAGAGGTCGCTACGCCTCTGAACTGACAGACACGCATATATATTCATCTGGCGTCATTTTACGCACATGCAACACTCCTGTCAATTAAACCCTACGTACTCTACTGGTGCAGCTATGAGCTCTTTTATGTAGGAAAGTAAAATGTAATGTGTGTTTATTAACTTTCACTTTTTATGCATGTGTATCAGACGGTTGTAATTATTTGTTCATATGGGTAGGTTTATTGTCCTGGAACTTTTTTTTTATTTATGTGTACACACTTTAGTTTTCCATTTCTAATAGCAATCAAAGGTTTGAAGGATGAATATGAAAGTTGCATTACTGATAAAACAAACGTAAATCAGGATAAAGAGTATGACAACATCTGGATAAGAAAAACCATGCTAGACCGATTTTCAAAAGGTAAATAGCGGGTGTCCACGATAATATCCCTTTATTTTTTCTATATAATGAATGAAGTCTCAATCATTTTTTTTACAATTAGACTGCAATTACACAAGTATGGTTTTATGATTTTATTATTAACTTTACCTTTGCTTTTATGTAATGTTTTAGCTTTATCTCTTTTAAAGACGCTCTAGCGAATGTGTATTTTACTTCATTACAAGTTTGGTAATTTTCATCTAACTAGAACAATTTTTAAAATATTAATAATTTAAATTAATATCGAATTTTACAAAAGTTCGTAATGAGTTTTTCATGTTTTTATCAATATGCTATATATATCTAAATTCTAAATACTAGTGACATAAACACCAGTTCAACTTTTAGCAAAAAAAGAAAGTGTCTAACAAAATATTGATATTAATTCCCCTTTTTTCTTTCAGAAGAATCTGGGGTGGTAACGGAAGATTTAGAATACAAAAATGCAGATGGGCACGTTACAGACATAAGCGATCACTGTCCGATATATGTCACATTGAGCATCAAAAAAATCTCTGATTCTAATGATCTCGCTTGAATAAGCAAAATGCAAAAATTAATGTTAAACATTAACACAACTCCTGGTCTTTTTTTTTAGTTTTATTAATATCAGAGGCGTAGCGAGGGGGGGAGGGCGGGGGGGGGGGACATATGTATGTCCCCGGGCGCCGATCTGAGGGGGGGGGGGCGCCAAATTGAAAGTTTGAGAGGGGGGGTGCAAATGAAAAGTTCGAGGGGGGGGGGGGGGGTGCACATCGAAAGTTTGAGGGGGGAGGGGTTCAAATGAAAAGTTTGAGGGGGGGGTGTGCAAATCGAAAGTTTGTCCCTGGGCGCCGGGAAGGGTCGCTACGCCTCTGATTAATATATACATGTATATTCTGCTTTAATTTTCAATATTTCCATTTTACTGAACTTGGTGATATAAGGCCCGGAATGAGCTTCGGCATATTTGTGTGTGTGGTAAATATATATATATATATATATATATATATATATATATATATATATATATATATATATATATATATATATATATATATATATATATATATTGCGGAGGGTACCTTTTTTCAAGTTCCCCCATTGGTTATCATGTTAACATACAAACACAGAAATAGATACAAGATTGCAAAACTGGGTTTACACATCCCGATTTCGATTTTTGTTTTGTTGCATGATTACAAAATACAATACTCCTCTCTACTCTGTACACGAGAAAGTAAAGAAGTCTAGAAACCAAACGGTTTTCCAATTGTATAGGGTTGGTAGTATGGTGTGTTGTTGTTGTTGTTTTTATGGTAAATATATACAACTATACAAATTTGTAGTAAATTATGTAAAAGTTTCAGTATTTCCAATACTAAAACTTAATTCCAATTGAAGAAATTTTGTCTTGAGTTTACGATCAGGAAAACTGCCAAAGAGAAATTCAACAACTTGTTTTTCCTAGGATGTTTATTATCTATATGAAATGAAGTATATCAGTTCTACATTTTTTTTAATTATTTTCATTCATTACATATATCTGCTTTATTTAAAATATTAAATGTATGTATTTGCTCATGATTAAGTATACACACTAAGCACATACACATCTACACACATACGGTACTTACATTAATCATAATGACTTTCAGAAAAAGCTTGATAAATTGTTTTAATTATAAACATCATACAAACACATTTAATAGTTTATCACAAACTTACACAGAGATACACTTGTTCTGTCTGTCTGTCTCTCTCTCCTCTCTCTCTCTCTCTCTCTCTCTCTCTCTCTCTCTCTCTCTCTATATATATATATATATATATATATATATATATATATATATATATATATGTATATATATATATATATATATATATAAAGTATATACATATATATACATTGGCCTATTTATATTTACCTATATATGTATATATATGATATATATACATAATTATATATATAACTTAATATAAGTATACATACATATATATCTATACCAGACTTAACTAAACGCACTTACCCACATTTTTTAAACTTACTTAAGATTTTATTTTATGTCTTGTAATTTGTAGCCTATATTAGCTTTGTCATAGTGGGTTAGCTATTCTACTGTTATAAATGTATTAAATAAAAACATTCCCACTTGATGTTGGCATTGATTATTGTTGTATGAAGTGTTTAGTAACTAATTTAAAGCAGACATATACCATAAAAAGGAAAACATCTTATTTGAAAACTAGCGTGAATGTGTATTTATCATTACAAGTTAAATGTTTTTAACGTGGTTCAAAGTCTATTCATAACGCTGTAGAGTCATGCTGATAAGCGCAGTTGACAACTCCGGTTATTTTCCTGTCCGCGGTGTGACCGCAGCCATCGTGCTTACAACCGGATGTCGACTCTCCCGGACACGTGGTCACTCCCTGCTTCGTCTTCCCGCCGGCGGCCGTCTCAGTGACCTTGACCTCCATCTCCACGCCCGTGTTGCTCTCGTCCTGCGATGACCTCGGCAACACCTGACACGACTGGCACCGGCACGCGCGCTCGATAAGCTCGTCCACGGGATCAAGCGAGTGGCACCACAAGGGAAGGAACTCCCAGTCGCGGAGTTTCACCGGAAGTAGCGACGGTTTCCTGGTCTGTAAGGCGTTAACGACGGCGATGATGAGGACGACGAGTAAAATGGGACCCCCGATAACGCCGAGGTAGACCCAGCCGGCGATGGATAAGGCGAAGATGAACCCAGGGAGGATGAGGAACATCATCAGGATATAGAACAACGCAAACCAGCGGTGTCTAGCGGTCGTCTTGCCCAGAATCTTCGCCAGACCCACGGGCCAGCGTAAGAAAGGGACGGGGTAGAACATGACGATGCCCGTGACGTTGAAGAACAGGTGACACAGCGCAATCTGAAGCGCCAGGCGGAGTTTTTCTCCGCTCTGCGTCAGGGCGGCGAGTATAGCGGTGACCGTCGTCCCGACGTTTGACCCCAAAGTCATCGGGTACATCCGGTCAACGGAAACGATGCCGAGTCCGACGAGCGGGGTGAGGGTGGACAGGAAGACCGAGCTGCTCTGGACGATCATGGTCATGCCGCACCCGACCAGGATCGCCACGTAGCCGGTCAGGTAGGCGAAAGGTTTGGGGAAGTCGGCGTTGATGGTTTTCTTGATGACCCGGCTCACCGACCCGGACAGCATGGAGTTGAGGGTGTGCACGATCAAGCACAAGGCGGCGAGAAGAAGGATCAGAGAGACGGCGAGAAGAATGGCGCCGACTGCGGCGTCTGGGAGGTCCGTCTGGGCGAACAGGTTGTAGCCTGTAGAGTGTGAAGGTAAGTCATGAAGGTAAGTCGTTAAGGTAAGTCATGAAGGTAAGTCATGAAGGTAAGTCATGAAGGTAAGTCATGAAGGTAAGTCATGAAGGTAAGTCATGAAGGTAAGTCATGAAGGTAAGTCATGAAGGTAAGTCATGAAGGTAAGTCATGAAGGTAAGTCATGAAGGTAAGACATGAAGGTAAGTCATGAAGGTAAGTTATGAAGGTAAGTCATGAAGGTAAGTCATGAAGGTAAGTCATGAAGGTAAGTCATGAAGGTAAGTCATGAAGGTAAGTCATGAAGGTAAGTCATGAAGGTAAGTCATGAAGGTAAGTCATGAAGGTAAGTCATGAAGGTAAGTCATAAAGGTAAGTCATGAAGGTAAGTCATGAAGGTAAGTCATGAAGGTAAGTCATGAAGGTGCATGGATTACCATGAAGGTGCATGAACTATCATTTGAAAAAATAAGTGTTAGGACCGTTTTTAGTTTAAATTGTTAAATGTTATTTCCCCAAAAAAACGGTGATAGTTTAGAATTTACCAACTCATTAATTAGATCTACCTATTAATACAAATGCAGATTTAATTTTTTTTTTTTAAATAACCAATAAGGAAAATTTAGATGATGTTACGGGTCAGTTGAAGGTTAGATTAGAATAGGATAGAATGATCTAGAATTAGGGGAGAGTGAGTGTGTGAGTTGAGTTTACCCTAGAGTATTGTTAACCCCGATGTGTTTATGTATTGTTATCCCAAGGTCGAATGCGGTATAAAAGTTGGAGTGACTGAATGTCAGGGGTTAGTTGCTAGCGATTAGGACGAGGGCTACTTTTGAATATATATATTTTTTGACGGAATAAAAGTAGTAAACATAGTCACAAAGAGTTGTCCTTTATATGAAACCAACTTGAACGTAACAGATGACTAATGGAACATTAGTTCGTGCCCAAGACACATGGGGCAGAACGACCATGGGATAGTGTGGTCAGCACTATGCCCGGCAACATTCGTTTCCCTGACGTAAGTTAGGTACCTATGAGAGCTGTGTGTACTTAAGGACGTTCTGCAGGCTTCGAATCCGAACTCGAGACTGTCATGTTAGCAGTCGTGAGCTCTATCGTCCGAACACACCTTGAGTGTAATTTGAGATCAGATTATAAGGCCACACAATTCTATGATGATATGAATAATAATAGGGTCGAGCTTGTTTTCTATGCTTTTTGTAACGTCACAATGTAATAGTATTCGAATGATAGAGTATGCAGTTGCACAGTTACAGTAATCAAAGCTGTTGGCACTTTTTACAAGCTCGTGTAGGGTACATTAAAAGGCACCAATATCAAGAATTTAAAATAACATGAACAGTACAATACACAATAAAACCCCTAGGGTGCCGTTAAATGTGCTAAAACCACCGAGCATATCAGTGGCGTGGCCAGGAATTGGTCCTGGGAGGGGTTCAAACATTTTTCCTTATGTATACAATCATATATATATATACATATATATATATATATATATATATATATATATATATATATATATATATATATATATATATATATATATATATATATATATATATATGTATATATATAAAAATATATATATATATATATATATATATATACATATATACATATATATATATATATATATATATATATATATATATATATATATATATATATATATATATATATTTATTTATTTATTTATTTTTATATATATATATATATATATATATATATATATATATATATATATATATATATATATATATATATACATATATATATATATATATATGGATCATGGGAAGGATTATAATCCCCCCCCTAACCCCCCCCCCCCCTGCCTACGCCACTGGAGCATATCGTTAAAACAATACAAACCACAGTCGTCATCACTCACATCTCTCCACGTTTTTCGTTTCATTGACCAGCCCAAACGTGACCCACTCCATGGGCACCGTGACGTTTCTAGGGTCACCGTCGGGGTCGTGGTTGGTCCTCTGGCACGGCTCCCACAGGGGCGAGGTCACGTGCAGGTCCTTACAGTTGACCAGCCGTGTCCCCGTGTGGTGGAAGGTCCGGTTCACCTCCCGCCTCTCCGTCCGGCACCAGCGGAGCAGGACGTCGCCGGGTGAGGCGCTGGAGTTCTGGGCCACGTCACGGATGACGGTTTTGTTGATCTGTAACATCAGAGTGATCAGTGCTTCTTTCAGACTTTTTTCTCCCGGGGTGGGGGGCACTTGATATTTTCAGGGGGGGGGGGGGGGGGGTATGTATAGTGTGTATGAACAGCTGTGTGGCCGCCTTCAGCCCCCCCCCCCACACTACCACCACCCCACTACACCATCCACCTACATCTACTATAGCGTGTATGAACGGCTGTACAACCAGCCCCACCCCACTATACCACCCACCTACCTGCACTATAACGTGTATCAACGGCTGTGTGACCGCCTTCAGCCCCACCCCCCCCTCTCCCGTATACCACCAACCTACCTCCACAATGGCGTGTATGAACAGCTGTGTGACCGCCTTCAGCCCCACCCCACCCCCCACCACCCCCACGATACCATCCACCTACCTCCACTATGGCGTGTATGAACGGCTGTGTGACCACCTTCAGCCCCCCCCCCCACCCCCACCTCCCCCACTATACCACCAACTTACCTCCACTATGGTGTGTATGAACGGCTGTGTGACCACCTTCAGCCCCCCCCCCCCCACCCCCACCTCCCCCACTATACCACCAACCTACCTCCACTATAGCGTGTATGAACGGCTGTGTGACCGCCTTCAGCCCCACCTCCACTATACCACCAACCTACCTCCACTATGGCGTGTATGAACGGCTGTGTGACCGCCTTCAACATATCCGGGGCCTGGTCCTGGTTGCCCTCCACCCCCAGAGCGTCGACCACCAGGCCGGACAGCCAGTGTAAGTAGCCCACGGCCACCTCCAGGGGCAGCAGCACGATGACGGTCAGCCAGTTGAACATGTCGTGGACCTGACAGAATCGTTTAATGATATAAACAAAAAATTCTTAAATGTCACAATCATTTAATGATATACAAGAAATTTCTTAAATGTCGTGTAGGCCTACCTGTCACAATCGTTAACGATATACAAGAAATTTCTTAAATGTCGGGGACCTGACACAATCATTTAATGAGATACAAAAAATGTCCGTGTCACAGTCATTTAATGATATACAAGAAATTTCTTAAATGTCGTGCTACTGTCACAATCGTTAACGATATTCAAAAATTTCTTAAATGTCGTGTATATGTCACAATCATTAACGATATACAAGAAATTTCTTAAATGTCGTGGACATGTCACAACCGTTAACGGTATACAAAAAATTTCCGTGTCACAATTGTTAACGATATACAAAAAATTTCTTAAATGTCGTGGATGGTGGACCTGTCACAATCGTTAACGATATACAAAAAAATAACTAAGTCCGGACTTTAATCCATCAAAACAATGCTATTACTTAAGTGCACCTGATCACAAATCGTGTTGCCGTTTAGTAATATTTGAGAATACTAAAACAAATGCCAAACAAAGTTAACATCGTTATGGTTGGAGCAGTTATTGGCTATCGTTTTAGACATATACTGCTCCTTCTATTCCCTACTATGCATGCATTGTTTCGGTTGTTTTTTTTTAATGGAAAGATGGAGCTAAAGATGTGTGTCTGAGTTTAGGCTAGGAAAGTAATGTACTTGCTATAAAGCCCCTTCATATACCTTGTCAAATCTACATCTTTCAATATTTAACAGTGAGTGATGTTAAATGGTTTTTATGTGTACATGTTAGTCTGCTATCTAATTAACCCATTTAGCCATATTCTAACCTTTTGGTTATTAAATTTTTCATAAATCGAGTCTCATAAACGCAGGTCTTTATAAAGTAAACACTGACCGTAGCTCCAGAGAAAGCACGCCTGAACTCGTTCCTTTTGTTGGCCTGGGCAAGGGACACAATCGTGTTTGTCACCGATGTTCCTATGTTAGCTCCCATTACAATATACACCGCTTTGTCGACTGGTATAACTGGCGGAAGGGGATGTAGGTTGAAGGGTTTGTTAAAATTCATATTCGAATATCCGAGAAAATATTATGCTATGAATTTAAAATCACCTGTGGGATTTTGTGCACTCTATGTGTTGGCTTGTAACGAAATGATAATGTAATTCTGTGTGGATGTTTGATTGTGACGAACCTAGTGTCAACTTACTGTTTGAACCCACCATTGTGATGACCCTAGTGTCAACTGACCCCCACCATTGTGACGAGGTTAGTGTCAACTGACCCCACCATTGTGACGACCCCAGTGTCAACTGACCCCACCATTGTCACGACCCCAGTGTCAACTGACCCCACCATTGTGACAACCCTAGTGTCAACTTACTGCTTGACCCCACCATTGTGACGAGGTTAATGTCAACTGACCCCCACCATTGTTACGACCCTAGTGACTACTTACTACTTGACCCCACCATTGTGACGACCCTAGTGTCAACTGACCCCACCATTGTGACGACCCCAGTGACCACTTACTGCTTGAGCCCACCATTGTGACGACGATGGACGTGGAGGTGGAAGAACTCTGTACCAGGACCGTCGCCAGCACCCCAATCATTAGCCCGGCTAACGGGTTAGACAGGACCCCACTGCTGAAAGCCGCCCCTGCTGTTTTACCTGGCACGGAAAACATTCTGAATTTAATGAAATAAAAACATGCAGTAAACTATATCATCTGGTGTGTCTTCTTCTTCTTTCTTCTTCTTCGTTCTTAATTTTAGTGTTGTAAGGGATCCCCCTTCAACACAATTAATTATTCGTGTCAACTGTTTATGCGCCATTGAGGTCATTGACTCCGATTTTCTTTTCTTTTTGGATTTGCTTCCATAGCCTTTGTCCAATCAAGAACAAACTACAAGGCAGCAGTTGTTTGATTTTGGAGTTGTCTCTCCTATAAGAGTGGCTGTCCCCAGCTAACGAGCTAACACGAGACTTTTCGGTTTAGCAACCATTAGCTACACCGACTCGACCACGCCGACCCCCCCCCCCCCCCCCCACCCCCCATCAGGTGTATCAAGAATGGTAGTTTATTTGGGGCAAGAAGGAGGTCGAGCGGTCGATCATCAGCTTGCTATTCCGAAAGAAACGAGTTCGAAGCTTGGGTTTGAGACCGTCGATCGCTCCTTGGACCGAACTTCCCCGCGTGTCTAAACCAGGTGATATGTTGAAATAGGGGGGGGGGAGGTAGCAAAAGACTGGCGGAACCCCCACATGTCTTGTGGCTGGTAACATGTGCGAGTGAAACGCTAAATTTTCTTTCTGTTCCACTCTACCGATCTTTGTTTGAGCCGGTAATGACTGATTACTAAATACCAATGGGTGAGTTTATTGAAGAGGGAAACGGGTCATGTCGGCTGGCGAAATGGATGTGAGAAAGTGCTATGTTAGACGTCATGTCTGCAAGGTATTACTAGAGCCGGTTAAGATCAAGAGGAACTATACGAAACACCATTACGCTTGAAAATCTTCAAAACAAGGCTAAACTTGTTTTCTGTGCATGCTTCACCAAAAAAAAAATAGGATGTTAGTTTACTCTGTAAATCTGTATGACATTACTGTTTTCGATAAGTGTGCTGCTGTCTACTAAACTTGTATGTAAGTCGTGACGATCACGTGATCGCTATTTTTATCACCTACCTCCCAGCAGCTGAAACGCTGCCTCCAGCAGGCCAAGGGAGATGATGAAAAAGTAAAGAAACCCCAGGAAGGAAATCAGCTTTATGCACACGATGGCGACCATTCGACATTTCTGTTTCAAAGTCATACCTGAGCACAAAAAAAACATTTATTTAAATTTATTTTTAAAGTATAATAAAAGATTTGCAGTACGTTTATTACTATTGAATCACGTGAAGAACATTGTTATTTATGAATATGCAATGTAAGTTTCTTACACTGTTTCCAAAATCTTCATCTAATACTAAGCTGAGAGTTTGGTTATACCAAAAGCATAGACCGTAAAGTTAAGTCGAAGTCGATGATCTCTAAATTCAAGCTGTTGCTAAAAAGTTGTTGTTTTTTTTTTTATTCCAAATGTCGGCCAATCAAAAGTAATGTAAAAATCCCTTGAACATTCGAATTGATATTTAAGGTGTGTGTCGTCTTCACTGTAATTTAAACTTGGTATAAGTGATTTTTTTTTTCATAAATGACCACTCTTTTTTTTAAAGAATGTAATCCTATATTAACCCGTTGTCACACAACGTCAAAAATCTCAGACCGACACATCTATATATATAATTCTCTTCTGGGAGCCGTTAGAAAACAAGCTGCAAGCTACCACCCCCCACCCCCTCACATTGTCTGGTGAGCTTTGGTCACGCTGTTTACATTTTACAATCATAGAGACGGGTTTGGTGACGGCTATTAGGGGCAGATAATTTAGTTTGAAACGATTTTAAACTTAGAGGAGGTAACTAAGTGGAGGCTGCTTTCACGTGGGGGGGGGGGGGGGGTTAGTGTTTTTAAGCAAATATTTTCAGTGGCAGCATTGGTACTGTCGAATTCACAAATTATAAATTGCTGAAAAGTAGAGAAAAAAAAATAAATAGCGGCGTATGATACGCAGCGGGTCGGCTCGTTCTTTAAAATCAGCTAACACTTCAGCCTACTCCCCCGCCCAATCCAAAACTAATCTTTCTGCATTTTCCAAAACGTTATTTGAGTTTGGTCGAGATTAGGAATATGATTGAAATTATTGCCAAAAGATCGGTTTAAAAATGTCTTTATATGATGCAAAAGTTTGACTTCAATTTGGTGCATTTGATAAAGCAATTATCGGAGTGAAGTCTTACTTTGCTAACACATCCCCTCTCCCCTAACACACACACACACACACATACATACACACACACACACATACCCCTTGTCACGCATCGCCATTCAAATCTAACACTCCCTTCCGGGATTGTGATGTCATTTAAAGACGACCCCCTACAAGTATGTGATGAACTAAAAGAGTTCCTGTGTCAAACATCTGAGCTAAAAGACTTCCTATATACTGTGAGCTAAAAGACTTCCTGTGTATGTCAGCTAAACGACTTCCTGTGTATGCGAGTTAAAAGACTTCCTGTGTATGTGAGCTAAAAAAACTTCCCGTGTCAAGTACGTGAGCTAAAAGAGTTCCCCTGTCGAGTATGTGAGTTACAACAGGACCACTTTAGCCTCTCCATGGCCTGCTCATAATAAACTCAGCCTGGTGAACGGAATGATCAAACAAGTGATCTGACCTTTGAACGGAACCTCCGGCACCTCCGAGTCGTCTGTGTCGCTACTGTCAGGGTCATCGAAGACCGGGGCCGGGATGATAATCTTTTTCTTCTTCTCCTCAAAAACAAATTAAGAGAATTTATGATCAACTAAAACCTTAACTTAGCTGAGGGACGGAGTGGCCTAGCGGTAGAGTGGAAATTTGATAACGCGTAAGTCACGAGTTTGAATCCAGGTTCAAGTCAGTTGACGTTCCCTGAGTCCACCCCAGCTCTGATGGGTACCTAACTCATGTTAAGGAGAGTAAAGGCGTCTGGGCATAGTGCTGACCAAAACTATCCCTTCATATGCCGAAGTCACAGAAACAGGGTGAACTCTACTTCACTTGCACCATGCTATCCCGTAAGTCTCGAGTTCGAATCCAGGTTCAAGTCTGTAGACCACCCAACTCTGATGGCTACCTAACTCACGTTAGGGAAATTAAAGGTGGCTGCCCACAACTTCCCTTCATATGCCGAGGGTCACAGAAACAGGTGAACTCTACTTCTTTAGCCCCATAGACCGTCAGGTTTGGAAGGGGAACTTTACTTTTAAAACGTAACGGTAAATAAGCTCCATGAAGATATTTTACTGCAACAATACTAGTAACATTAGAAATGTACTCAATTACTTCATTAGGAAGTGTGGAGAATATCAATGTTGAAAGAGTTGAAGGAGAGAGGTATATGGGGGACAGGGCGGTCGTATGGTAGAGCTTATGAATGCTTATCCGAAAGGTGTAAGATCTGTATCGCATAATCGTTCTGTCTCTAATATGTTTAATGAAACATTGAAAGGAAAATAAACTGCTAAACAAGTT